AGCCAGAGGTAGTTTGTGTAGTAAAAAATGTTTAACTATCTGCATAAAAAAATTGATGTTCCTTACAAACCCTTAACTGTTAAGAATATTCAAATAAAATAAGCTACTTGACATTATGTTATCTAGGTGAGAAATGTCCACCAGAATATATTAGTATTTGACATGCTTACCTGTCTGGGTTTTATAACTTTTTTTCGGATTCTTATTTTAAAAAAAAAGTTAAATAAGTGAACCAAATATACTATTAACAATGGAAGAGAGTTTATGAAGAAATCTTAGAAGTTTGGACATTTATTAAAAGCTTCCTATATGTACAATGGATATACATATATGACTTCTATCCAGTCTTTATGGGATATAGCTGTGGTACGTGTAATGTTTTTTATTTTAGTACTCTTCTGTCTAATCTTTATCAATCATACTTGTGATACTTATAAAGAACTTTCAATATATTCCCTCTTCTTTCTGATATTTATTGAACACAACAGTATTACATATGTGGTTTATGTTTGTAAAATGTGTATAGAACTCGAATAAATATTACGAAAAAGATTTATTTGGTCTTCGTAGCGATAACTGTAAAAAATAAAAAAATTACAAATATGATGTTTTACTTAGATTAAAGTTAACGCTATGAACTTGTCTATTTGAATACACGCACATTCGGTTTAAACTATTTAAAACAGTTTTTGAAATCGAGTATACGTGCTTCGTGGTCTTTTTATCGTTACATATACATTAACAGTTTACGAACTTGTAAAGACACGAACCACGCCTAACTTAGGGTGTGAGAAGAAATTAGTTTTTTGGCTTGAAAATGATTGAAAAAACGACAAGAGAAAAATCTAAAGCGAGTCGATTACAAAAGGTCAATTTCCGTTATGATCAGAAATAAGGCAGGAGATGGACGTAACACGGTTCATCCACAGAAAAGTATCTTTATGTTCATCTATCTATATCAACGCCGACTAAGAGCTTAATCCACGCCTATTGTCCTTGTTCCTTCTCCAACCAAGAAGCTCTTGAATCCATGCTCTCGCCAGCTGCAGCATATGCACGTGCTACACATGTGGCCGTCGCCGCGCTGGGATGTTGGTCCTATTGTATCATAACTAAATCACATTATTCAGCAAGCTGATACCGAATTACTTTGAGGTGTCAGCTGGATTGGTGTATATATGGTTCCAGACAGTCACTGGCAAGAACTGACTAGTTAAATGCAACGGTATCTCATATTTCTACGGTCGGTCCACGTTTTAAACTCGTGTTCTACTTTTAATCTGACAGTTTCTGCCGTTGAAACGTATCAAACACACATAATCTAAGTCTTTCGCCTGCACATTCATTTATACGCTTATCTGCTGCACATGCGAATGAATCTCCCACCAGTATAACTAACACGCCATATCTAAGAAATATTATCCCTACTTTAACCACAGAAATATCGATGAAGATATGGAATCCAATCCTAGAATTACCGATGTGAAAACGGACCCTATCGATATTTTAAATACATTTTTATAGACTATTTACGCACCAAATTGCTTGTGAGTCCACGTCTTTGTTGGTTAGATAGTCCCTAATAGCATGAGAATAGAAAACGAAAATCGAAATACAATTATTTCCACTAGTTACTGCTGAGGTTTGCTATGCATTTTATATTGCAAATGAGTATAATGTAATATGTGGACTCCACCAGTATAGTGCAAGTTTTAAAACTTGTTATTTTGACGATTTACATCTCACATGATTTCACCGACATTTAAAAGGTGGTATGTATTACTGGACATCTCAGTTATTTCTTCTAATATATCTAACAGATATAATGTATGATCTTGCATCTCAAATTAATTTATTAATATGTAAATAACAGGCATGGTTTCACACAACATATCTCTTTGTAGCCTAACATATAATAGCTGTGATATACATCACATTCTTCCTCTGATATTTCTAATAGATTTTTACTCACCTACGTAACAGGTAATAACTGTCTTATGACATTACACATTATTCCACTGACATATCCAATAGACAATCTACAAATCCAGTCTCTATTGAAATGAAACGCACCCCAGCATCGCATAGTACGATGACTTCCTTCGTGGTGTTATCTATTATTTCCACGTGCATTGCCATACATTTTAACTGCTACACACCGCCAGTCTCCACCATGACTTTTAACGGGAGTGATGTGATGACTATTCAGTGCACCAGCTTCAAAATGGCATTTTCAATTTCTATTGTTATGTTGACTTCTGATCAGGTGTATCATATATTCTGGGAAGTAATCTTTATGCAGCATGTTTATTCTCATCCTCTCTTATTCTCATATAACACTCAAAATCTTCTGTTTTTTCACAACAACTCGATTAGATATTGTACACCCAAGTGCTTTCACCATTAATACTAATGTGCCATCACCCAGTTAGAGTAATATGTAACGTACATCACAATGCTTGTCCAATTTTCCATACTATGATATATATATATATTCAGTTGTGACGAATTTATTATTCTATATTTATTTCAATATCGATGTTTGTTTAAATTAAATTTATATTTAGAAATGTACATAACGTTTAATGTTAAATATGTATTGCGAAACTCCCGCCCATTTTCTAAAGTTGTAGAAGAATCTCGAGTGCAAGAATCAACAATATATGTGTGTACATAAACGCTAGTGTTAGCGTTAGTATTGTTACATAAAACTGAAATTTCGAGAAACGCTCCACACGCCTATAAATATAACCAACGCGACGCGCCAAAAAAATAGTATATATTATTGGTTTCTTATAGTTGGTGTGCTATAAACTTCGGAAGCTACAACTATGATTGTTATGATGCTTATTAATCGGGAAACTTAATATATTTGACCAGGAACGTTTATAAGTTTCGAACGTTACAAACCATTTAACTTCAGTTGATTCACATTGGACATTAGTACTTTTACGAAAACATTAGTTAACTTCATCGGTGGAAAAAATCGGTGAAGAATATAGAGCTAACTAGCTCCCTAATAAGTAAATTATACTTACGTCAACTGGAAATTAACTCGCTCATCGTGAACTCTCGATAAGACATGAAGGAAGTTCCAGACCAGAAAGAAGACTTATATTGTTTGTAAGTTTGTAAAACTTTTGTATATAAATCATTGTTTGTTATAGCTATTAGTAATAACTGTTATTTTAAATTGTATTACTATTAAAATATTAAAATATATTTGTATTAAAAAAAGAAAACTGTGTGTGTATCAATCTTGTTGGCAAATATAATAAATTTGATATATATCGGCATATATTTAACTACTAAATCTAAATTACAATTTAACTCAGTTTTAGGCTTTTAAAATTGTAATACGTAATATAATAAATTGGAGACAAAATTCGATCTAAATTAACATTGAAATCATAATTTAATTTATATCTATCAGTGCCAACAAGAGTTGATCATGTCTGATTATCAAGATTTTTTTTAATCACCTTCCCTCGAACAACTAGAAAGATATGACAAAAATTAATTGCTCGAAATTGTCAAAATTTTAGAACTAGAAGTTAAAAGATCAATGAGAAAAAAATGAGATGAAAAAGCGTATTATCGAAATACCAGTCGATGATGATTTGTTGCCTGAGACAGCATTAGAGAAATCCTCTAATGTACCTACTAGCCAATCGGGGTTGAGTGATAAAGATAGATTAGAGATCCAGCTAAAACTCAAACAAATCGAGCTTGAAGAAGCTTGTATCAAAGCTGAAAGAGAAAATAAACGCCTCGAGACCGAACAAGCTCTTATCGACGCTGAGAAAGAATAAACTCGTATCGAAGCTGAGAAAAGAACAAGCTCGTATCGAAGCCGAAAAAGAACAAGCTCTTATAGAAGCTGAAAAAGAGAAAGAACAGGTTCATATCGAAGCTTAAGAGAAGATAAACGTCTCGCGGCCGAACAAGCTCGGATTGATGCCTAAAAAGAAATTAGGCTGAAAGAAATGGAAATTAGACTCAACTCCGATCGACAAAATGACAACTTTGAACTTAATCGATATCTTAAAGTACCACCTTCTAATGAAAGTGAAGTTGACACATATTTACAACATTTTTTCCAAACCATGGAATGGCCCACTAAAAAATGGTCATTATTATTACAAAGTGTCTTAACTGGTAAAGCACAAGAAGCTCATGCCGCTCTCTCTCTAGAAGATTGTACAAGTTATGATAAGGTTAAAGCAGCTATTCTCAAAGCATACGAGTTAGTACCAGAGGCTTATCGCCAAACGTTTCGAGGTTATCACAAGCAAGATAATCAAGCTCATATGGAATTTACGGAAAAAAGGTTTATTTTGATCGATGGTGCAATTCTATGCATATTGACAAAAGTTTCGACAATTATGCATAATTGAGTAATTTAAACGTTGTGCACGTGACGACCTCAAAACTTACTTGGATGAAAAAAAAGTTTAAACATTACAGGAAGCAGCCGATCTTTCAGATTACTACAGTTTAACACATAAAACCACTTTTCATAAAAATAAATTCCTACCATCTCAACAAAAACCTGTATCTGTTCAATCCACTAAAGTTGAGAATTCTTCTAAAAAATCCAGCTCCTCTAATTCGAAATATTTTGACGGTCAAGATAAGGCTTCTTTAAAACAATCAAGGCCTATCTGCCATTTTTTGTAAAAAACCTGGTTATGTTATGTCCGATTGTTGGTATTTAAAGAAAAAAAAGAAAAGGAGGCAACATCCAGTGCGTTTGTGTCCACATATGGACATAGTTTCACCAAATCACCCGATGTTGTTGATTTGATTACTGATATAAAGGCTGATTTAGTCAGAGAGGAATTTAGATCTTTTGTGTCTGTTGGTTCTGCGTCTTTGACAAAAGACATTGCCAATCCCATACCCATACGCATTCTACGTGATACTGGGGCGACTCAATCATTGTTATTAGAAGGTATATTGCCTTTAGATTCGAGTTCTGCTACTGGTGAGTCTTTTATTGCTCAGGGTATTGAGGGTGGCTTTGTTGATGTTCCTTTTCATAACATTTATTTAGCATCAGACCTAGTTTCGAGACCAGTTGTAGTTGAAGTAAAATTTACTTTGGCAATTAACAGTGTATCATTATTGTTTGGGAAAGATTTGGCTGGGGAAAACTGTTTTTCAGTACTCTTTGGGGCAAATTGCTGATTTATCCTTCCATTTAAAGTAATAATTTGGCCATAATATGGATCCCACTTCTGGACAGTTGAAACTCACGTTACAACAATAGTCCAGATCTGTGTCTATCTTCTGCAGCATTTGGTAGAAGGTTAAGAATAGATGTTGGTCTAGGTGTTTCGACTTCTGCAGTGTAATAGGTCTTTTTCCTTACAACCTATGGATCTTGTATTACCACCTCGTATTGGATAGCCTATGACATAACCTTGATTAAAGATGGAATATCTCACTGGTCAGACCCTCAACAAACTTGTTTACCACGATATCATTCGAGTTAACAGGAACTGCCGAGTATATCTTTGAAAGAAAACACGACAAACAGATTTGCCTCGTTGTGATCGTGTAAATACAACAGCATCAGTTATTCTTTGGTGTCTTTCTAGCGAGAACTGACTTGGAATACTAGACCGACATTACAGTCCAACAACCAGACAAGGGAATACCCTCAGTGGCAGGTACTGTAACTTAGTACTGCAGGATGTGCCAGAAGTACCCGTAACGTAACTCTTTCGGCATTTTATGGAGATCAGGTAAGCAGACACCAGAAGGCTGTGTCACTGAGAACAAATGGATATTGTGGCAGTCATCTTCTTCAGCTGATCCTCCTTAAGACAGCTCTTGTTTAGTAGCAGATGACTATTCTTCTTGGCCCCTAAAGGATAAATAAAATATAAACAAACAAGGAAAATGATTCCAGATCACTAAGTACAGATCAGAACATCACGACAATATCTTGTTTGTTATGAATTTCGCGCAAAGCGACACGAGGGCTATCTGCGCTAGACGTTCCTAATTTAGCAATGTAAGACTAGAGGAAAGACAGCTAGTCAACCCCACCCACCACCAACTCTTGGGCTACTCTTTTACCAACGAATAGTGGGATTGACCGTCACATTATAACGCCCTCACGGCTGAAAGAGCGAGCATGTTTGGTGTGACAGGGATTTGAACCCGCGACCCTTAGATTGCGAGTCGAGCTCCCTAACCACCTGACCATGCCGGGCCCACGACAATATCTACCAGTTGCCCAGAAAATATCACGACCCTCAATAAACAAGGTAAGATTCAGCATTTACTAACACATAGACACACACACACAAAGAAAATGTAAATATGAAAATATAATAGTTTCTACTTGCGTAAAGCAATTTCCTAGTTAAATTATGTTTTATTAATGTCTAATAAAAACTACAAAATAACTCTACATTTAGACTAAGATCTATTAAAAACTACAAAAGAACCCTACACTTAGACTAAGATATAATAAAACTATGAAAGAACCCTACACTTAGACTAAGATATAATAAAACTATGAAAGAACCCTACACTTAGACTGAGATAAAGAACTGATTTAGCTTTAAACTAATATCATATTATAGATGAACGGTTTTAGAGAAACAAGGTTCTTAGGGAGGCTACATCTTACAAGATGACTTTTCATCACAATATCTAAACCAATCAAATAAATAATCAGCTTCACAGAAGTTTCATTAAGAAAAAATGTTAAGTATGAAAAGCGTATATAATAATAATACTGTCAGTTGTATATAAAATGAGGTAAATAGGGATTAAATATAACTTATTTATGCAATAAGAAGTTGCAGCCCTGAATACCTCGTGCTACACAAGTTGCTGGTACTGCTAGCAATAACTTATTGGTTCCTGTGGAACATATACCACATATGCCAAGTTGGACGAATCGTAAATGATCATCCTCCTTGAAACTATCAAAGTCTCCATGTGACTTATCGGTTATTCTTTTCAGAATTGTCTTCTATACATAGATTGAAAGTAAATCATACTCTCGTGTTACCTATAAAAAAGCTATCGACTTGTCCAATTGGAAAGTTCAAAATATTTCGAACTGCGCCTCTTTACAATATGGAGTAGACTTAGTGTCGATAACAAATGCGATTCGTCAGCAAACGTTTTGGTTTTAAGGGTGTCTGTAGTCTTCCTGTTTTCTAAATTTATATTTGTACTTAGATGTGTTCAGCATAGGTATATCTGTTATTGTTCTGTGATAAATTTCTCATGTGTTAGATACCTGTTTTTGTACACATTCATGGAGCTAGGAAGACACTTAGGTTCAACAATTGTTTTAAAACAAAAATACAAAACGCTATAACCCGCTTTTTAAAGGTTTTCTTCATCACATATCTGAATATTTTTACATGTGCATGTGAAAGTATACATAACATTGGAATAAAAATTTGTAACATGAGAATTATGGGCAGTTACTTTTTTGTTAAGTTTTCTATCACGACTGACTCGGTTCAGAAGTAACCACGAGCTTCTTTATCGACCACTTAGAGCAGGCAGGGCTACGTAGGGGGCGGAGCTCGCTTTTGTTAGACCAACCGTGTAGAATGATGAATTGCCGTTCGGATGTCTGCTGGAGGCTATGTGTTGTATAGACTGTGTTTCCACGGCTGCGCTCTGCTGCTCCGGCGTTAAGCGAAACGCTTTGTTTTTCTCTTCGAACAATCTGTTCCCGAGATACTCCCCCGCTTTCATCTCAAGAATGATTAACCTCATATTCGTAAAATCGTATTATCTCTCTATATATTGTCGCTACTAGTTCACGTAGGCTTTAATATCTGTTGCTTAACACTTGTACAACCTCTTATTCTCAAAGCGATACAAATAATGAATAAAATAAATAAAAAAACCTTTTGTATGACTTGTGAAAAGCTAAAACTATACTTGAGAACCTGCACACCAACTAAACATTCGCCTGTCACAGTTGCAAGAGAAGGTAGTAACAGTTCTTGTCTTTAAACCATAGAGCTACTGCGGTCGTAAAGGGACACTAAGTTAGGCTTAGATTTTAATACGTTCTTCGCGGTTTGGTACCATCGTCAGAACAGCGGGACACAGGTATACTGTTTTAATTATACCTTTTATATTCAAGGCTATAATGACTTACTTGATGGATGATATTAACAGCAGGATTTTTCTACTTCATGATATCATTTTTTTATAATATTATTAATAGAATTATTCTTATATAATAAAATGACATCAAATAATGAGCTGTAGTGATACATAGGCTGCGTAGCGGTGAGAAAATACGTTAGAAATAATACCTTTCACAAACTTCTTTCATCTTGTAATACTTTAGAGATAGTGTTTCGAGCTGTTAGTGTTCCCCCCCTCCTCCACAAGTAACCACAGGCATCTGAAACTCATTAAACTATATAAAAAGCATTGCTATCTTTCTTCCCTTAAAAGTGTAGACCCGTTCGTTAGAAAATCATGATCTAAGCATGAGAAAACTACATATAACGCTATTATTTGTTCTTTTTCAATACCATTTATAGCAGTTGTTAAAAAAAGAAAGACAAACTAAATTTTGTTGTTTCTTATAAAAGGAGATATATAGAAACCTTTAATTAACGAATCTAATATATTTGTGAAAAAAGTATGTAATTTAATTAAGTTGTATCTTTATAGTTATGAGTTTGTTAGGATATTTTAAAGGGCAGAACTTGGTTTTTATGGTAACATTTTTTAAAGAAAATATGGGGTGTTACATAATCCAAGTTTTTAATTTTTTTTGTTTGTTTCTAAACTTAGAATTGTTTAGATTTTTTTCTTCCCAGAAATAGATCGGTGGATAGGGTATAGGAAAGTGGCCGATAAAGGAACTCATGGTTACTTCTGAGCCGAATCAGTCGTGATAGAAAACTTAATAAAAAAGTAACTGCCCATAATTCTCATATTACAAATATATGTCCAAATGTTGTGTATTCTCTTGGAAATGGAATTTAATTAAACTTGTTAGTGGAAAATTCTACTCTACTTGAAGTACCAGTATTATCATATGTATTTGTTCAGTAAACACTATCTTTTACCTCAAAACACGGTTTCTTCTGCTATATGAGATGGGCCGGGTATGACATAGTTGTCAGCGTGCCGGCTGTGGATCACAAGGTCCAAGATTCGCTCCATAAAGCCATTGAACACGCTTCGCACTTTCAACTGTGGGTACTAAGATTATGGTTAATCCCGTTATTATGTTCAAAGCCAGACAAAGTCAATGGTGTTGGATGCTGCTAACTCTACATGCCGTTCCTCTTGTCAGTAATTCAAACCTCTGGATGACTATAACCAAACTCTAGCAGTCTCTCACCTGGCCGTAGTTTATATGCGCATAAGTAATATTCAGGTTAAAAAATATCAAGAGCTGTGAAAATATTACAATCTTGGAATTACTAATTATTTGTAAGATACCCTCACAGTAGGTTAAGAATAATATGATATATATATATTTGTATACAATTTTCTATTTATATAACAATTTACATCTACACAGTTTCGAATTGAACTAGATATATATACTTCTGTGAATATTTTTAGTTTTAAACAAATGTTCGTATATATATATATATATATATGTGTGTGTGTGTGTGTATAAATTGCAAGGCTAAAATTTAGCTTTAGTTTCTTAGGAATGGCCAATATTTAGTGTTTTTATAAACCACCAGCCTTTAAAAGAAAATAGAAGTAATCAAGCATAATATCACTCATCTGATACGGCTCTAGTGGTATTAACAAATACCATGTCCTTCTGTATAGATCAACAACGACCATAGAGGCGTTCAGCGTTGCCCAGGCTTTTATTCTGACCCCAGAATAGATCGTAGATGCTGAAAGGACATTAAAACGCGGTCGGTGTATTGTACACGTTGAGTGAAAATCGTAGGCTGTCGTTATTGCGGGCGCTTTCAGTACGGATAAAGAAATTGAGCTCCGTGGATAAAATGGCGGATTTTCATGAAAGCTTGCCAATTCCTGATAAGTATAAGAACATTAACGCAGGTAGAAAGACTTCAGGTCCAAGGTTCAGAAAACCGCACACATACACGTAGCTTAGCTTAGTGTGTGAAACATCTACCAACTAGAAGTACCGTGTGAGGAGACTATTGCTGATATCGAAGTTCATATACTGGAGTCTATCAATGATAATAACACCGATGATACTGTTATTGGCCTGATCGTCTGGATTTCTTCTTAGGAGAGCCTCGTAAGAGCTATGAAGATAGTCAACCTGGTGAACCACAACAAGTTGAAATGGTGCCCCAAAGCCAAATGTTGTGATATCGCATTATGTGAAAACTGGTCATCAATTCTAGCTGTCCCATCTCTTCTATACATACGATGTGTTTGCCCCTACGGCTGCCGCCTTCAGTTTTACACAGCAAAACGCACACGACCAAAGACGAAATGATTGCCGCCAGGAAAATGTCTTCCCGTTAAGAGGAATCATTTCTCTAAGAAAGAGTGGCAACAAAACGACTCATATTTTCTCTCTTGAGCAGTTCAGACCACATTAGTGATTTTACAGTTCGTCAGACCGTCGTGAGGGACTTGAGAAAAGTTAATGTTAGGCCTATCATTCTAAGCATTTTTTGTATGAGATAATTATGAGACAGTTAAAACCCTATCGTGCCTAACTAAGTCTGTACACGTTGTGCAGCACAATAAAGGCATATTCTACAGTTCGTAAGAAGAAAACATAGACAAAGGAATACATCCCCTTAGTAGATTCTGTCGCAAATTCCTTACTTTGTAGGTGGAACAGAACACAGTAACTGTTGTAAGTTGAAAGGTAAGATTGTCTTCAAGGAAAACATAACACACATTATTTATAATGTTTAAAGAAATCAATTTCGTGAGTAGAAGGTAAGTGACAGAACAAAGTGTAACAGTGACAATGCGCTATATGCAAGATTTTTTTCCAAACCAATAGAGTATTAGTGCTGTTGTGCATACATTTAACATAGTACAGTGTTCTGCAAAATAATAATAATAAGGATGTTGGCGTCATTCTTTGTCCAGAGTGCTTATGTATATATATTTAAGTATACCTTTATATATATAAGTATGGATTATCTATGTGTAAGAATGTACATGTTTTAATTTTAGTAATATAATTCTTTAGAAACATTTTCTATCAAAACGAGATGTATTGAATGGTTTTGCTGAATAATGACCTAAAAAACAGGAATGTTCCTCGAGAATATTTCGTTATTAGTTGAAAAAAAAAGATTATTATAATACAGAAGTAACCTTTCCATCCAGTAGAATGGATATATGATGTAATGAAATGAATAAAACCCTCCTCTGTATAATGATAGAAGAAATGTTATTAATTCACAAGTAAGAGGGTTCTTATAATCACATATTCCCAGTCAAAGGAAATGCTATTTCCATTCTAAATATTTTAAATATTTTTAAAGTAAAAAGTATGTACTTGTTTTGGCAGAATGCATCAAACATTGCAGATTTTCTCCAAAACGTTCTACATGTTTGCAGTTTATTACTAAAATAAAATAGGTTTCAATGCTTTGCTTTATTTACAGAAATTCTCAAGTTAATATCGTTTAAGATCTTATAGCTAAATTTATGAAAATCAAGAGAAATAAACATTCAACAATGAAATAAGTAGTCTGCAATAATATTAATAAATAAGATGTTACATGATTCATTTTTAGGTTAAGATGTGAAAAAATGAATACAATGAGAATAAAGCGATAAAAATAAATTAAAGATATAAAACTAAGTCTTTCAACACGTCTATTCACGTTTGTTGACTAATATAAAGGTGATATAATAATGATTAAATCATTTCATTTCACAATGATTTCACTAGGCAGGTGCAACTACGTTTTTTGAATTGTGTCTTTATCTTGGTACGCCTTTAAAAGACGTAGAGAACTCGTTAATTAACATGACGAACTTTATATGTTTCTCGGAGACCTCTGGTGGACATAATAGATTTCAGTGTGTTACAGAGCAAGGCTTCACGTATCTTCAAAATATTCACGATAAATTTTCATCCTATTAATCTCTATGTTAAAAATATAAGTTTTGCTTACATCTGTTTTTCAAATACAATAAATAGGCCGTTACTATGTCATCTGAGCCCTATAGATATACTTTTGGTAGTTATATACGTGTGTTCGAACGACGAAGCTAGTTCACCATGGTTATTTTAGGTTGACTTATGTGAGGAAACATACATGCAATAATAGCTTAGGAGAAGGACGGAAAAATGATTGAAATCCTCGTTAGTGTGTTTCTTATTTTAAAAATATCTATGTTTCGATGAATTATTTATCAATTTCCATCGAAGGCTTTCCCTACAGCTATTTTTTTCCCCATTGACTTGTTTAACTTGGCTTGTTGATTATTTTGTTATTGAGATTCGATCCGACTTAGCACACTTTCCAGATGGATTTTACATAAATTACTGGCATTTATCAAACATCATCTAAGAATCGTTGACAAAACGCACACAAACCTAACTTTTATCCAGTGGATAACAGGACCCCAACTATGATCGGCTGTGTTTTGAACAAAATTAACTCTCACCAGCTTATCTAAATATCACCACAACAGCTTTATATAAACGTCTGTAGATAGAGCTATGATGCCATACAATACAAATAGTAAGCCACAATCGCTTGTAATGCAGTGTAGTTTTAGCTTTCTTGCATGAGAGAAATCCACTATTAATAACATTTCATGAATGGTTAAATGCCATTACGTTTACTTGAGCATTAAGTGTTTTCTGTTAAAATTGGACAAATTACAGTTATAATATGCCAACCACGCTACATATGTCATATCCATTGCCGACGAGGTTTTTCGCCTTATACCAGGGTTCATCCAGCCAGTGGTTATTTTCAGATATATGATATTTATTTTTATTGTCGTTACTTTATTGCTTGTAAAATTATCATAATTTTTGTACCAATTTTTTTAATATTTAGGGTTAAGTTCTATACAATAACGTTAGTAACTACAGTTATCTAAAATTAAAATATTAACAACAAATTACTTCTTACACTCAGTAATATTAACTTGTACTGCTACAGTTATTTTGCCTTGAATGTTTAATAATATTTAGTGTTAAGTTCTGTACGATCACGACATTAATACAGTTATCTAAAATTAAAATTACTTTTTACACTCAGCACGTTAATTTGTATTCTACATTATAAATAGTAAAATATTTTCTCTATTGAACCCATGCAGTGTTTATTACTAAAATTATATTTTGCTTCTGTTCTTTATGGCTTTAAGGGTTTATATAATTTTTGTCACGATTGATATCCACATGCTATTCGGTTATTTGCAGATTTAGGTATATGTTGTAGAGAATTTTCCAAGGCTATGTTTGTATTTCAGGCGTGCTGCTCGATATCATTTGATAAATAGTGATTTATTTAACCGAATACAAACTATTTATGTTTAGGTCTACATATTGGTTGACTACGCGCTCAAATTTCGATCTTAAAATAAATAGAAAAACTATATGTATATATAATGGTACCTTACACACTGTTTGTAGAAGGTGTAGTTCATAGATGATGTATTAATAAACCTACTGAGGCCCTCATTTGTCGACCACTAAACCACTGTCTTGTTTTGGAACATTCTGTTCTAGAACTCCACTTCACCCTCTCATCATCATCGTGTACCGTGTGTAACTGAAATGACACGTGCTTGCTCTCTGTCCCTTTGCTTTCGGTGTCCACATATAGTGTTTCGAGGTTGCCCCCACCGTTCGCCGGTACTGAGTCACCATTCCGCTTGCTTCCTACTTTCAGATCCCCAAGTGGCCTGAACTCCCGGAGACCAAATTAATTTACTCGGTAAGAGAGAAACCGCTGCGTTGATTTAGAATTAACCTATAACTCTTAGCTTATCATCAGGGCTCGTTAGCACTTCAGTTACTCATGATGGTAGGCCTATAGTAGAGCCAGCAGCTTTCGGTCATTGATGTACCTAGATCGAATAAAACGATAGATTTAAAGTTGTTAATTTGGAATCTTATAGTATTAAAAATATCATTCCAGAACATTGTCATACTCGTATAAGAATTTGTTAAATTTATATTGATATACGTTTGTGTTGATTAACTTTTGTGTGTTTATATATATATATATATATAGATAAACAACCAAGCAAAATATTGATATTTCA